CAGTTGTAGGAGTAACATACCATTTTTACGTCCAGTCTCATGAAACATTCGCTTTCCCTTGGAAACTCTTCAACCACGTGCATCGCTTACCTTCCTTTGGTTCTTGTCTGTAGGTCCGCGGCAGTGACGTATATATATAATCTTGATAAGTCTGAAGAAGATGACGTCACTGAACACAAAAACGTCATTAAGATTTGTTTATTATGGCTGATTTCTGAGAATAGTGACAATAGTGCCTGCCCCTGTGGTATTGGTTTGATGTCTGGGAATAGTGATTTCTGAGAATAGCGACAATAGTGCCTGCCCCTGTGGTATTGGTTTGATGTCTGAGAATAGTGATTTCTGAGAATAGTGACAATAGTGCCTGCCCCTGTGGTATTGGTTTGATGTCTGAGAATAGTGATTTCTGAGAATAGCGACAATAGTGCCTGCCCCTGTGGTATTGGTTTGATGTCTGAGAATAGTGATTTCTGAGAATAGTGACAATAGTGCCTGCCCCTGTGGTATTGGTTTGATGTCTGAGAATAGTGATTTCTGAGAATAGCGACAATAGTGCCTGCCCCTGTGGTATTGGTTTGATGTCTGAGAATAGTGATTTCTGAGAATAGACAATAGTGCCTGCCCCTGTGGTATTGGTTTGATGTCTGAGAATAGTGATTTCTGAGAATAGTGACAATAGTGCCTGCCCCTGTGGTATTGGTTTGATGTCTGAGAATAGTGATTTCTGAGAATGACAATAGTGCCTGCCCCTGTGGTATTGGTTTGATGTCTGAGAATAGTGATTTCTGAGAATAGCGACAATAGTGCCTGCCCCTGTGGTATTGGTTTGATGTCTGAGAATAGTGATTTCTGAGAATAGTGACAATAGTGCCTGCCCCTGTGGTATTGGTTTGATGTCTGAGAATAGTGATTTCTGAGAATAGTGACAATAGTCCCTGCCCCTGTGGTATTGGTTTGATGTTGAGGTCAAGGTCATACCATGAACCAACATATATAAGTGTATATCTTCACCATCTCTAATATTCGAGCCAAATAACTTTCATTTCTCCTATCGTTCAGGCTTCATTCCATTTACAATTTGGCCTTCAGACTTGAAGTATTTTGATTTTCTGTTCTAGTTTCAATAACGTTATCTTGCGATTTGGAAATTGCCTTGGGACTTTGCCACATACTAGTAGGTTAGGTATGTGTGTATTACAGACGATCTGTAATAACAGCCACCTCCAATCTCAAAGGTCGAAGAATTATATAGAAACAGAAACACTGAAGTACTTGTTTGGTGTCATGTCATGTGACCAAACCCGCGATAATTCAGGTTAGAGCGTTGACCGACATTATCTGTGTGGCTCGACGTCACCAACTCGTGATGGTTTGTATTTTCCTCAGAGGCTAAGACACCGACGAAACTATGCTGAACCGTTTGTGGCAGGACTCCCATATACTGAATTGTTTGTGTCCTTTGGGGAGGGCATGTGACGGGACTTCTATGTACTGAACCGTTTGTGTCCTTGGGGAGGGAATGTGACGGGATTTCCATGTACTGAACCGTTTATGTCCTTGGGGAGAGCATGTGATGGGATTTCCATGTACTGAACCGTTTGAGTCCTTGGGGAGGGCATGTGACGGGACTTCTATGTACTGAACCGTTTGTGTCCTTGGGGAGGGAATGTGACGGGATTTCCATGTACTGAACCGTTTGTGTCCTTGGGGAGGGAATGTGACAGGATTTCCATGTACTGAACCGTTTGTGTCCTTGGGGAGGGCATGTGACGGGACTTCCATGTACTGAACCGTTTGTGTCCTTGGGGAGGGAATGTGACGGGACTCCCACGTACTGAACCGTTTGTGTCCTTGGGGAGGGCATGTGACGGGACTCCTGTGCTGATAAGAAAGTTAGACACAAAAGTTGATTGGTCAAATTACTGTGGATATGTTACGTGACCAAATGTAAAGTAGTTGCAAAATCACGTGGCTGAAAGGTGAGGCAAAGGAAATTGTAATATCTAACACGTGATGTAGGAGACTCGCTGTTGAAAATCATGTGACCAAAAGTGAACCATGAGATCCTCGCCCTGTTACAAGTAAATTTACATGGCCAAAAAGAAGGGAATGAAACTTGCAATTTAATGTCACATGTCAAATGTGATACTTAATACCAGCGGTGTAAGGTAACGAAACGTGAAACAGATTCTATACTCCTAAACCATCTCTCTAGATGTACATTGTACCCTGTAACTAACAACGTGAATCAAAGAAACAAGCCACGTGTTTGTGATTGCATAATAGTGCGAGACAATGTGACACAGATAACAGTAATTGACACGTAAAGCGCGTGTTAATGATCTATTTATAATCATCATTATTATCTACACTAACACACCGCGTGTACGGCAGTACACAATGTACCAACATCTCAGTCATAGAGACCGCCACAGCACTTGATAGGCTGATACATAAACCGATAGAACTGGGACAGAGACGCTGGTCTGGTCCGTTAGTAGGTGACACTATCATGGTAGTGTCCGTTAGTAGGTGACACTATCATGGTAGTGTCCGTTAGTAGGTGACACTATCATGGTAGTGTCCGTTAGTAGGTGACACTATCATGGTAGTGTCCGTTAGTAGGTGACACTATCATGGTAGTGTCCGTTAGTAGGTGACACTATCATGGTAGTGTCCGTTAGTAGGTGACACTATCATGGTAGTGTCCGTTAGTAGGTGACACTATCATGGTAGTGTCCGTTAGTAGGTGACACTATCATGGTAGTGTCCGTTAGTAGGTGACACTATCATGGTAGTGTGCGTTAGTAGGTGACACTATCATGGTAGTGTCCGTTAGTAGGTGACACTATCATGGTAGTGTGCGTTAGTAGGTGACACTATCATGGTAGTGTCCGTTAGTAGGTGACAGTATCATGGTAGTGTCCGTTAGTAGGTGACAGTATCATGGTAGTGTCCGTTAGTAGGTGACACTATCATGGTAGTGTCCGTTAGTAGGTGACACTATCATGGTAGTGTCCGTTAGTAGGTGACACTATCATGGTAGTGTGCGTTAGTAGGTGACACTATCATGGTAGTGTCCGTTAGTAGGTGTCCGTTAGTAGGTGACACTATCATGGTAGTGTCCGTTAGTAGGTGACAGTATCATGGTAGTGTCCGTTAGTAGGTGACACTATCATGGTAGTGTGCGTTAGTAGGTGACACTATCATGGCAGTGTCCGTTAGTAGGTGTCCGTTAGTAGGTGACACTATCATGGTAGTGTCCGTTAGAAGGTGTCCGTTAGTAGGTGACACTATCATGGTAGTGTCCGTTAGTAGGTGACCCTGTCTTGGTAGTGTCCGTTTTGCAAGTGGGACATTGTGACCCGAGCTTACCAGTGGTCGGTATGGTAAGTGACCCGAGCTTACCAGTGGTCGGTGTGGTAAGTGACCCGAGCTTACCAGTGGTCGGTGTGGTAAGTGACCCATATCCGACCTAAATTACAAAATTCGAATACAAATTTTGAAAATAACACTTTTTTATGTTTGGTGTTTGGCACCTGTATTGAAAATTTCGAAAATATTTGTTTGAATATTAGAATGGAATGTTTGTAAGAAAACCATTATTTTTGACGGTAACCATTCGAGTTTGTGGAACATGTCAGTTAAAGGTATACAAATGTTGCGTTTTGATGTGGTCCTTTCGGTCCGTTTTCTAGTCACTTTGTAGGATTAACCAAAGTGAAGTGTCATATCGACATATTCTCGTACATGTATCACAACATAACCCTTTCCTGAAGCGTTCGACCCCCTGGAGTTCTGCGCGTGTGAAGTGACGGGTTGAGTTAGAAGTAGATGTAGTATTGATTAAGCCAACACTGTACTTCTGTTTCCAATTATATTGTACCCAACTTTACAGCATCTCACAAGGATTTACACAAAAACTAAGATTTTGTTTATTGATTCCTTTGAAAATCCTCTTGATTACGTATCCTTTGTAAAATAACTTCCTCTCATTACGATTGATTACTTTAACGAGGAAAACACTGAGCTATTTTTAGGAAATCTTGCCTCATTGTTTTACTCGTAGATTTCAAACCATAGTGTAAACTCTCACTGTCATTAGAATTACTTGGAGGGCTGCAGATTGGTGATAGGAAAGCTTTATGGACGTCACTGTGGTCTTAATGAGTCTACTCTCTAGTGACATATAAATTTGAATATGTTTGAAAAAATGTTAGTGGAGCTGTCGTTTCCGTTCTTGTATACCGTAATTGTTCTCATGTGAACACGTGATAGTATTTACATTTAAATGGCGGGAACAGCTGGTCTTATTCTCCTTGTACAATCCAGGAATATCCGTGTACATCTTTCTTTTGTTCATATTTTGTCTTCGTGTCGTACAGTTTGAATTCAGGTGATATTTTGGTATTTGTTTTATCAACATGAGATATATGTATAGTCAATCTAAACACTTCTATTCCTTCAATATACGCAAATTCCTATTATAAAGAACAAGTATTTTTGAGACCAAGTCTGTATGTTTTGGAATATATATTAATCACTTACAACATGGAAGTATTTTCTGTAATTAACAAGCAAAATGTCACGGAGATTTACGAGTTCTTTTTATGGGATTTTCACGGAAGCGTATTCCGGCCAGGTTGTGTTTTATTTTATCTCGAAATTTTTAGATATTAACCCGAAACTTTGAGTTAGTAAGCCGAAATTTTGAGTTATTAAGTCGAACCCGAAATTTCGAGATAAAACCTCGAAATTTCGTGTTAATATTTACTAACTCAAAATTTCGGATTACTAACTCGAAATTTCGAAAATTTCCGGAATACGTTCCGGAGATTTTTCATTAAAAGAAAAGAATTTTTTCTTTTTATGTATGTTAAACAAACAAGAGAAAACTAACAAAAACAGGCAGTATGGACGGTAGCATGTCGTTAGGCCGTTTTAACAGAGACGAATGTAGTATAGATATTTGTTTACAAACTTCTTTGTTCTTGTTGCAGCTGTGACGTCATGGAGGAATTTGATGTAGAAAGTCTCCGCTCTAGTGAGCCAGAGCTGCCACCAGTTCACCCCGGATTTTTCGACCTCGACGCTCTGATCCTCGATGAAAGGTCGCTCTGTAACATCGACAAAATCATCGCCGCACTCGACATCAGACTCAACAACGAAAACCAACTCGTCCACTTAGCTCTGCGAAACCTCAAGTATGTTATCATGTGTCAGGACAGGAAGCGCCGTCTGGAAGCCGGAAAACAATTATCGGCCTTGAACTCTGCCAATCCCGATCATTTAAACACGCTAGCTAACCTGGAGCACGTGTATAGAATCTGTCATAGAAGAGCTGACGCTAATGCATGCCGGGAAAGGTTGGATGAGCTCCTTAACAAAAGAAAGCGGAAATACGAGATACTGAAGGCGTTATGCTTCCTTGAACAAGGTCGGTTAGAGTATAAATAGAATATAGAATGACACACCTTGAACAAGGTCGGTTAGAGTATAAATAGAATGCAGAATGACACACCTTGAACAAGGTCGGTTAGAGTATAACTAGAATACAGAATGACACACCTTGAACAAGGTCGGTTAGAGTATAAATAGAATATAGAATGACACACCTTGAACAAGGTCGGTTAGAGTATAAATAGAATATAGAATGACACACCTTCAACAAGGTCGGTTAGAGTATAAATAGAATATAGAATGACACACCTTCAACAAGGTCGGTTAGAGTATGAACAAGGTCGGTTAGAGTATGAACAAGGTCGGTTAGGGTATAAATAGAATATAGAATGACACACCTTCAACGAGGTCGGTTAAAGTATAACTAGAATACAGAATGACACACCTTGAACAAGGTCGGTTAGAGTATGAACAAGGTCGGTTAGGGTATAAATAGAATACTGAATGCCACATATACATAGAAACTTGACCATACATAGGCAGTTCACTTTCATTCAAAATCATGAAATATTGAAATTTATCAAAGTTATTGAATTTTGTGATAAAATCCTAATATGATTTTCTCATTTGAATCGTACAATCGTGATTTTCTTTAGTGGCTGTCTCTACGTTTCAATGATTTAGGCTCTTAACATCATTGACGACTCCTAGAAACAGCTGTATGATGTAACATCACTGACGAGTCCTAGAAGGACGAAACAGCTGTATGATGTAGCATCACTGACGAGTCCTAGAAGGACGAAACAGTTGTATGATGTAGCATCACTGACGAGTCCTAGAAGTACGAAACAGTTGTATGATGTAGCATTACTGAAGATGCCTATTAGAAAGAAACAGCTGTGCGATGTAGCATCACTGACGAGTCCTGAAAGGACGAAACAGCTGTATGATGTAGCATCACTGACGAGTCCTGAAAGGACGAAACAGTTGTATGATGTAGCATCACTGACGAGTCCTGAAAGGACGAAACTGTTGTATGACGTAGCATCACTGACGAGTCCTGAAAGGACGAAACAGCTGTATGATGTAGCATGACTGACGAGTCCTGAAAGGACGAAACTGATATATGATGTAGCATGACTGACGAGTCCTGAAAGGACGAAACTGATATATGATGTAGCATGACTGACGAGTCCTGAAAGGACGAAACTGTTGTATGACGTAGCATCACTGACGAGTCCTGAAAGGACGAAACAGCTGTATGATGTAGCATGACTGACGAGTCCTGAAAGGACGAAACTGATATATGATGTAGCATGACTGACGAGTCCTGAAAGGACGAAACTGATATATGATGTAGCATCACTGACGAGTCCTGAAAGGACGAAACTGATATATGATGTAGCATCACTGACGAGTCCTGAAAGGACGAAACAGCTGTATGATGTAGCATGACTGACGAGTCCTGAAAGGACGAAACTGATATATGATGTAGCATGACTGACGAGTCCTGAAAGGACGAAACTGATATATGATGTAGCATCACTGACGAGATTCTGAAAAGAATCAGGGTTTCATCTTCCTATCGGAATTGCTTATTTTTGTAGTTGGCGTGATCAATCTGTATTGTTTAGCACTGTAATTAACGTGACAAGGTGATAAGTCTTTATCCGTCCTTGTTTCCAGGTTACGTTTACACAGTGTTGTATCACGATGCTAAAGGGGTGGAAATGGTAAAAGGTGCAATGGACAGCGTCACGAAGCGTCTCGAGGACCTTCGAAGGAACTGCAGGGACAGCCGTGCGGAAACCTCTATAGACGGTGTCCTCGCCGAAGTAAGTATTCTGACGTGTGAACTGCTGAGTATCGAGGACTCCAAGGAGCGACGAGCGTTCAATACGAGCGAGTGTCTGAAGAACTACGAGGTCGGGCTAGAGATGTTGATGTGTCAGCCGGGTACAGAACTGGAGGTTGAGTTGTGGAATTACTACCAGGCTCTCATCAACTATAACATGGCCAACCTCGTGTCACTCTGCAGGTAGGTCAAGGTTCTGACATTACATAGTGGTTCAAGGTCAAATGATAACGTAGGAAATTCGAAATATGCTTAACGGATATTCCTTTAATTGGCCTGTTAGCCGGTAATTTTTTTCTATATGTCTCTAGCGTAATATTCCATTACATTTACCATTTTCAATGGCTTTGAAATTCGAAATGAGAAATCTATCGTGACGTCATAATATGGAGATGACGTTACGTCATTGATCGAATATGGTTGCTTCCGTTTGATTACGTCACCAATATTCCACACTTTAAAACTTTCTCATTCTTTTTTATTTCATACATTACTGTAATTATCTTGCCGAGGCTCGCCTAAGTATGGCAACTTCTCAGTCGCGTATTATAAAATTTCATGCGAAATGAAAAATTCCTTTGAGATCCTGTAATAATATATTAGTAGTTGTTGGAACAATTATGTATGTGATATCGACGGCTACAATGTCACTCTTCGTCAAATGACTGACCAGTGTGAAACGTATTGACCGGAAACAGTTTGGGGTCAAATCTATATATATCTCCTTTACTTTCAAGATCTGGTCTGGATACATACTACCAGGGACATGGGTCAAATGGACCATAAACTAAGATATTGTTGGCATTCAAAAGGGGGCTGGTTGTCCACTTCCAGTCACGATACAAATAACAATGTTATAACGGGAGAAAGGGTAGATTCTGTAACATACATTAGAGTCCTTTAACATTGGAAGTTTATGTATTTTTGTATCAGGTGTAGCACACTTAATTCACGACGCTATCGAGTCGATCTAGAGATGGCAGTTTACAGTATTGTAGTAATGGCGTGTGTTTTCCTCTACAGAGCTGGACAGGCCGGGATACACAGGAAGAAGGCGGCGCGCCTCTTCCTCAAGGTCTTCAAGGAGCTTGACACTGATATCCCCGAGTCCATGTTGTATCGGGCCCGGTCCCTCAGCTACCTGGGTCATCTCCTTTCGGCTAACTTCGAGGGGAAAGGTGACAGACTTTTTTCTTACACATATTGTACGAAGTTTATTGTATACTGCTATTTTCAGTCCTGACACGACCTCCTCTGAATTCTTCGGATATTTAAATGGTCAATAATGACAAACTACCCAAATTGCAGCAAAAAGACGGTTTTAAAATATATGTCATCTCGTTTCAGGAGACACGTACAAGGACACACTGGAAACATTCACGATTACAACAACACAACTTGGGGGCGTGTCCAGTTTTCTTTACGAGAAAGCCAGGTCATATTGTCCTGAGGATCACGTGATATTGACGACTGAAGCAAATTACATGTTGCACAAGGCATTGAACAAAATAAATGACCCATCAGAGAAAAAACGACAACTGGACAGAGCTAATGTTGTAGTCTCGCGGTCTATATCAAATCTCGCAGATTTCTACGAGAACTCACTAGCATATTCCGTTAGACGCGACATCAATTATCATCTTTCACTATTAGCCCCAACCCTCGGAGAAAGGTATCTGCGTCAGGCAAAATCTGACGGAGAGGTGGCGCTTCTGTCTGGGGGTGTGGCCGACCTGGTTTTCATGGGAATGGTATGTCATATGTTGGCTCAGTGTCAGCCTCAGTCACGACGCCTGTCGTGTATTGTGGATAAAGATGATATACTATATGAAGGGATTGACTATATACAGCAAGCGATCGAAAAGGGCGCTCAGGACCAGAGTAAACTCAAGTGTTACGAAACGCTTGCGAGTAGCCTGTTCCAGCTCAAGTCATACCGAGAGGCAGTAGAATGCCTTAAGCGTGTGATTGAGAATGATACCACACGGAACGTGAATTTGTTTAAAACATTGTGCACGTACTTTTTCGAACTATACAAAGACGCTGGTAAAAATGGACGCCATGTTTTACAGGAATTTGTTTACTGGTTGTGCTGGTGTGCAGACAAGTACGGACAGGATGACGTCATTAACAACATGGCGAAATGTACAAAAGAATATTTCACGGAAATGTTGGCGGTCATAGAAGTACTAACATCAAGTATCCATGGTAACGGAGGAGTAAATCACGTCTGCTTGATAGAAAAGCTCAAACAAAAGCTAGAAAAAGTAAGAAACAATGAATCGAAGAAACGAAACGCAGCGCCGCGTTCACCAAAGTCTCGATTTCGGTTCCTGCTTCGAAGTCCACATGACAAGAGCAGGACAATCGGCGAAAAGGAAAGGACGCCGACACGGACGATTGGACAAACGACAGGAGGACCTGTGTCAAGTGTCCTCAAAATTGTCCTTCAGCTTCCAGGCATGATGCCACAATACTGCGGCACATACGATTATATCGTCATCCACAGCATGACGGACATCAACTGGGTCATGTACGTCCTACGTCCGTCACTAGAGGAAAGCTTCGGAGTCAACAAGGTCCGAGGTGAGTATACTGTTGTTTTTCATTGGGTGAAACTTCGGATTGGTCGGAAGTAATAGTTGCGTTTGCGTTTATTTTACGGATTTTAATAGCATCCGCTGGGTGGGGTCGGTGTGAGGGGTCGTGCACTAAAGGTCACCTTTAATGTGTTGTTTATTACCTAGGCTACCTTGCCGGCCGAGACTTTGTAGCCAGTTCTGGAATCTGGGAACCACTGAGGGACAATGTCGCAACAAAGGTTATCCTGGTTTTGTCTATGGACTTCATACGGACAGAATGGACGAGTGCAGACGAACAGACGGATATAGTGCGACTCTTAGAAGAGAAAAGCAAAGAGGGTAATCTGGTTCCTCTATTATTGGACTCGCCATGCAAAATTCCCGAGAGACTCCGAAGGATACTCTCGCTGAATTGGCGAACGCCTTTGGGTCCTTACGACTGGGACCAGATTCGCCGGTATCTCGTGTAATCGGATATTCACGAAAGTGCTTTTACAGTTATGTCACTCCCGGCTATGTAATCACATAACTTATATAATGGTTGTGATAGTCACGTGACTAGCATCTCTCTTCGAGTATGGATAGTCGATATATATAATATTCTGGTCACAGACAGGTTTTCGTCATTGCCTTGGGAATGGGGTTTTTTTTTTTTGGGGGGGGGGGGGGGGGGGGGGGGGGGGGGGCGGGGTTGGTTTGGTTTTTTTTCTCACAAATTTTCGAAACGAAGTATTAATTTCGTTGAAAAAATCTGCGTACCGAAAATCTGTCAATCGGCAACAGCGAGAATTGCTATTTGACCAGAATAGGTAGACCAGTAGATATATTATATCCGGCTTAGATCAACTCCTGTTATATGGCACAGTTTTCACTCAGTATCAAAGTGTGCTGTTTTACATTGATTGTTTATTTGTATGATATATCAATCCTGATTTTAGCCACGACACGGCATCCAGTTAACGTTTACATAGTTCCGACGGCAAAATAGTGAAGTGTGAAGTTGCTTCATTTTCTGCATGTTGTCTGGGTTATAACGCCCTGTCAACTGCTAGGTCATTTACAGTTTGGTATAAGTATTATCACTTGTTGAAGTCCTGTTCCTCCTAGTAGGTCAATGCTATGTAACAACGCTTCTTATTGGTCAGATGTACGTATGTATGTTAAAGCATTTAGGATAGGTACGTGGTATATAACAAGGCTTCTGATTGATCAGCTTGTTGTGATAAATTATGAATATGAAATAATATCTATGTTATGTGCATGACACGTCAGAGAGTGATGTTCAGGTCATTGTGAAATAGTAATGTCGAATGCTTCGTGTACAGTAGATCAGTGAAAAAACTATTTCTGATGGTCCGGACCTAAGTGGTTATCCTACATATTGTAAGTCTGTGATATTACAGTGTATCTGATTGGTCTGTGAAGGATTGGTCGGTGCCATCGACACTGCATTTTCAGTGATATGACATTAGTTTTTATTGGTCTGCTAAATTTAGATGTTATGCTAAGTCATTGACAATATAGTGTTCCTCATTGGTTAATGGTTAAGAGGCTGTAAATTGTCAGTGATGTAACAATGGCTATTGTTGAATAGACTGCTTTGGTCGTGATGTACAACAAAGATGTGAAAGAGTTTTCCATTGGCCATTGCTTAGGAGGGTTGATTTTTAAGTGATGTATCATTGATGTTGATTGGCTAGCGAATTCGAAAATATTGTGATAGGTCAGGGGTCATTTGGTATTTCTCATTGGCTAAAGCTGTAACAGTGGTTTTTTTATTGGCCAATACAGAAGGGACTGTGATTTGTCGGTGATGTATCAGTATTCCTGATGGGTCCTTGCAGCTTCCTAGGGTTCAATTTAGAACAAATTTTACTTTTATGAATGTTTTTATGATCCGTCCGTAATTTGGAGTGTATATCATTACTAGCGCCTTTTTGTAAATATCTTATAATGTTGTGATGGTAGTATAAGTTATTACCTTTTAATTTATAAATATGTTCACGATTTTGACGTTTTATTGTTCCATGTTAGTGAAAGTCTTTGTACTGTAGCAAGAGTGGGACCAGAGCATGTGCAAGGTAGTCACAGGTGACTGGCTATTAGGGAGAGTCATGGGTGACTTGTTTTTGTGAAAAAAATGTAAGACAGAGCACTTGATGTGGATGTTCTTGTGAAGTTTCCTTTTAAGATCAAACGCATGGGTCTTCGTGATTCAAAATAAATGGGAAAGTCAGAAAATGATGGGTTGCACTGTGCATTTGTTTGAAAGCAAAACTTATCTCTTAATAAATGAATAGTAGAAATCGTGTTGAATTTTCTCGTTGTTTCAAGAAAATCTTAATTTGAACGTTCAAAATTCGGTTTGAAAACATAATTATAAAACTGATTTGCAAACAATAAAACATTTTTGTGTAGCGGAAAATTTCAACAGCCAATTATGTGATCTTACTTTCAATAATTTGCTTGAAGGAAGAGATGTGCAAAGTTTCTAAAGTCGCATTTCCTTTTACATTAGTCACGATGATATAAACAAGTAGGAGACCTTCTGATTTACATAATGTGTATTCAGGTTTACTTGGTGAAAGGCGAAATGACGATTGAGAGACAAGATTCCACTAACAGTATAAACTATACATATATCAATAAACATTGTTTAAAAATATTTGTTTTATATATATATATATCAATAACACGTGATGGCGTTTTGGTAGTGGAATGAAGTGGAACACGCAGGAAAAGACCAATGAAATGTGATATAAAATATATATTCCTGAAGACAAAGTAATTAGTACATCGCCTAAAGAGACTAATCCCAGTAACGTTTACTATTCTGTATCCTTCTACTGTTGTACCTGCTGCCCCTAATTTGGCAATCTTTTCGCTCTTTTAAAAAAGAAATTTGTCTTCATATGTCACCTGAATTGGTTTTAGTTGATCGTTTGCCAAAGTGATGACAGTCGCTCAGAATGCCTCAAAGTCGTACCAACTTGTTCAAGTCACAGACATGACATGAGTGAACATAAAACTGTAAGAAATCAATATTTATACAATATGTTTATGGTTTTAATGAATGCATTAGGCCAATATACTATAGACGTGAATGTGTATATAGGATACAAAGGCAGGAAAAGAAGTAAATATTCCATGTGTATCAGTAAGGCAGCAGACCATAATTGAACAGTTCTCCCTCGATAGAAGGCTTTCCCACACTCTCACGTAAGTCACTTATCCCTCGATAGAAGGCTTTCCCACACTCACGTAAGTCACTTATCCCTCGATAGAAGGCTTTCCCACACTCTCACGTAAGTCAGTAATCCCTCGATAGAAGGCGTTCCCACACTCACGTAAGTAAGCTATCCCTCGGTAGAAGGCTTTCCCACACTCTCACGTAAGTCAGTTATCCCTGGATAGAAGGCTTTCTCACACTCTCACGTTAGTCACTTCCTAAAGCCACATGTACGTGCTTATAGCAGGTCATTGTATTTTCAAGGTAAAACAAATTCATCGGAGGAACCACCTGGATTCTGTAGAGACTGTGTTGGTGACAAATAGTCGGTCTTACGAAACACATGCATCTCAATTGTCACTGATCGTGTCCCGCCACTCTACTCCATATACAGGTGACCTTTTATATAATATACTCTTGATAAGCATTGGCTCTTTTAACCACTATGTTACACCCAAGGATACCAATAGCATTCACAATATTGGCTAAAACGTTCAATTGTCTCTGAATATTCTAATTGTCCTGATTGCAATCTGTTTACATAATGTTTTATAGGGAAAGTATACCCGCCCTGTGAAGTACAGAGGCGATAGTATACATCTGTTTAGAGCCCTTGAGAGTAAATCAAAAACAGTTGTTGATGGCGACCTTGCATACCCCCGGCTGTGTAGACGTGTCATTTAACGCCAACAGACAACCCTCGTAGTAGATGCTAGTACGTTGTTCTCAGTAATCTGTGGGTACACCTATTGGTGATGGCAGGATACGTTCTCATACACATAGGTCTACATCACACTTTACATCCTAAGTGGCTGTCAGGGATCTCCATCTGTTGGTCGTTTGTTCAGTGCCGTAACAATACAAATCGTATCAATAGCATATTTACGTTCATCTTGCACTTTCTTCTCGATTTTATATACTGATACACATTAATCCGAATTTAATAATTAAATCGACTTTCAGAAGATTTTTATCAGAAAAGAAAGACCACAGAATGTAAATATACATCATCCATATGACAAAGTTGTAGAATCAGCAACATACTGATTTTATGTTGTTTCATACATTCGTGTAAATTCAATGATAAACATAAAACAGTGCATTATGCCATAGTTGTTCGAATCCACTTAAACATCCGCATATAAATCCTTTATAAATATGGAAGATTTTCAGTCCATAAATCCTCTATATTCAACTATGGAATGTTTTCAGTCAACAGAATATCTTTATTACTGTGTAAGTTTTCCAGTCCACAAACCCTCTACATAACCGCAAGGTTTTCAGTTCTCATAGCCGCTATATAACTGTGGGAGGTTTAAGTCCACAAACTCCTATATAACAGTGGGAGATTTTAGTCTACGGAGTCGCTTTGCAACTATGCAAGGTTTTCAGTCCACAAAGCCTCTATATAACTGGAAGTTTTCAGTCCACAAAGCCCCTATATAACTGGAAGTTTTCAGTCCACAAAGCCCCTATATAACTGGACGTTTTCAGTCCACAAAGCCCCTATATAACTGGAAGTTTTCAGTCCACAAAGCCCCTATATAACTGGAAGTTTTCAGTCCACAAAGCCCCTATATAACTGGAAGTTTTCAGTCCACAAAGCCCCTATATAACTGGAAGTTTTCAGTCCACAAAGCCCCTATATAACTGGAAGTTTTCAGTCCACAAAGCCCCTATATAACTGGAAGTTTCAGTCCACAAAGCCCCTATATAACTGGAAGTTTTCAGTCCACAAAGCCCCTATATAACTGGAAGTTTTCAGTCCACAAAGCCCCTATATAACTGGAAGTTTTCAGTCCACAAAGCCCCTATATAACTGGAAGTTTTCAGTCCACAAAGCCTCTATATAACTGGAAGTTTTCAGTCCACAAAGCCCCTATATAACTGGAAGTTTTCAGTCCACAAAGCCTCTATATAACTGGACGTTTTCAGTCCACAAAGCCCCTATATAACTGGAAGTTTTCAGTCCACAAAGCCTCTATATAACTGGACGTTTTCAGTCCACAAAGCCCCTATATAACTGGAAGTTTCAGTCCACAAAGCCTCTATATAACTGGACGTTTTCAGTCCACAAAGCCCCTATATAAATAGAAGTTTTCAGTCCACAAAGCCCCTATATCACAAGTACAGATTTTGGATTCCTTCTGTATTTCATTCCTTACTCAACAATAAAGTGACTATAATGATATCGGGATCGGTGACTTGTGTAGTATAACAAAGAAGACACATCCTTTTTATATCTGATTTTATTAATAACATTGTCTCGCAACGAGTCTGGGGTACAAAAAATAGCACAAAATCGAGGTGGGTTGATTACGTGAGATAAAAGAAGGGAGGTAACTATGATGGAAAATAAAAGACGTGAGGAAAACGAAGGGAGATAAATATGACTGACAAAAATGGCGTGAGAGAAAAGAAGAG